AACATCATTTTCTTTTTTTTAATTTATTTATTTTTTGTTTTCAACATTCACTTTTATGAGATTCTGAGCTCTAAATTTTTCCGCCTCCCCAAGATGGCATGTAATCTGATTTAAGCTACACATGTATAATCTTATTAAACTTACTTCCACATTAGTGCTGTTGTGAAAGAAGAATCAGAACAAAAGGGAAAAACCACAAGAAAGAAAGAAAAAAAAGAGAGAAAATAGTATGCTTCGATATGCATTCAGCCTACATAGTTCTTTCTCTGGATATGGACAGCATTTTCCATCTCTAGTCTCAGAATTGTTTTGATCATTGCATTGCTGAGAAGAGCTAAGTCTATCCAAGTTGGTTATTGTACAAAGTTGCTGTTACTATGTACAACGTTCTACTGGTTCTATTCACTTCACTCCACATCAGTTCATTTAAGTCTTTCCAGGTTCTTCTGAAATCCACTTGCTCATCATTTCTTATGGAACAATAGTATCCTATCACATTCATATACTACAACTTGTTCAGCCATTCCCTAATTGATGGGAATCCCCTCAATTTTCAATTCTTGGCCACCACAAAAAGAGCTGCTATAAATATTTTTATACATGTGGGTCCTTTTTCCATTTTTATGATCTCTTTGGGATATAGCCCTAAAAGTGGTTTTGCTGGGTCAAAAGGATATGCACAGTTTTATAGCCCTCTGGCATAGTTCCAAATTGCTCTCCAGAATGTTTGGATCAGTTCACAACTCCACCAGCAACACATTAATGTTCCAATTTTCCCACATCTTCTCCAACATTTATCATTTTCCTGACAAACATCACTTTTTATAGATGATATGATGACTCACCTATTCTTAATTCCTTCAATATATTTTTCTTGTCTTATTGCTATAGCTACCATTTCTAGGAATTATGTCAAATCACAATTTCTTTTGATGACACAGTCTTCTAGTTACCCAGGTTCACAATCTTGGAGTCATGCTGAACTCCTCAATGTCCCTCATCCCAAATCAGTTACCAGATCTTACCTATTCTACTTCCACAATATCTCTTGCATCCATCCCGTTCCCTCTACTCACAGGACCACCACTCTATTTCAGGCTTTCATTGCTTTTTGCATTACTATAGTAAGTCTCCTAATCATCTCCTTTCCTCTTGTCTTTTTCCTCTCCAATTTATCCACCATGTAGAGAATAAGGCTAAAGAATACACACATATTCCTAAAGAATTAATCTATGTCATTCCATTGATTAATAAACTCCAGTGACTCCTAATTACCTTTAATATCAAATAAAACATTCAAAGCCCTCATAACTTGGTTCCAAATTTTCCAGCCTTATATATACAAGAAGTGTGCTACTCACATAAATGTGATCTACATAGGATGTTTAAACATATTAACAGGGAGTTCAAGGTGAGGCAAACAGAAATCAATTGACTCACACACAAAAAATATTAGAACAATATCAAAAATTGGGGAAAAAAAGAAAATGTAAGGTATCTGCTATAAAAAACAATCGACCTTGAAAACAAGTCTCAGAGGGTCAATTTAAGAATCATTAGACTCCCTGAAAATCATGATTTTTTTAAAAGTGCATAGACACTATATATCAAGAAATTCATCCAGTTTTAGAAGCAATGGGCAAAGAATGAATAGAAAGCATCCAACAATCACCAAAATGAAAAGTCCTAGGAATACCATAGCTAAAATTCAGAACTTCCATGTCAAAGAAAACACACTAAAATATGTATACAAAAATAATGAGTTCAAGTTTGAAAGAACCACAGTCAGTATCACACAAGATGTTTCTATGATACATGACAGGAAATCTTGAAATATGGTATTCCAAATTTACCCTGCACAGCTGAGTATAATTCTATAAAATAGACCTTTAATAGAATAGAAGACTTTCAAGTATTACTGATGAAAAGTCAAAAACTAAGTAGGAATTCTGAAATATAAACACATGAGTAAAAAGCATCCTAGAAAAGTACATTTATTTGAGCAATTAGAATGGGAAACGATGATATGCTAACATTCCAATGGGATGGAGGGGAGAGAAGAATTGTCCCTTTAGAACCTGATGGAGTTAAATATGAAAAACTGAGGTCCTACAGGTGGACTATTTTTGTCCTGAGGGTTTTAAGAGAGGAAAGAAAAGGGAGGGTAAAAGGACTATATTAGTATAGAAGAAAGGAAGAGAAGCTGCTCTTTCTCATAATTGGGATATATGAGAAGAGTCTGAGATGAACCTTACTAAACTGGACAAAGGAGACTGAACCACACACACACATATCAGCAGTTTTAGTGTGAAGACAACATCAAACTCAAGAGGAAAACAAAGCTGGGATAAAAGGATTTCAAGAAGGAGAGTAACACTGGGGAGGGAAGAGCCAAAAGTAAAAGACACTTCTTGATTCTGAAGAGGAGATTAAAAGGAATAAAAAGAAAGGAAAAGAACTAGAAACAAAGAAAGCGCATATCAATGCTAAATCAATTTGTATCAATATTTATCAATAGCTAAACACATTGTGCTATATGAATGTAATGGAATATTATTATGCCATAAAAATCATGAAAGTGATGATTTCTGAGAATCCTAGGTAGTATGAATTAATGAAAAGTGAATTCAGTGAGGAGAACCAAGAGAATAATCCATACAATGATAATACTGTGAAGAAAAACAACTTTGAAAGATTTTACAATATTCAGCCATGTCTCCAGTATATTATTCTCCATCTGACAAGCAAAATTTGTTTTGCTTGACTATGTTTGTTATAAAGGTCTTTGTTTTTCCCCCCTCTTTTTCTCAGTTGGTAATGAGGTGGGAAAAAGGTAGACAATTTTGAAAATAACATTTGAAATTTATCATATTGTGTATGTGCGGTGTTTTGTTTTTTTTTTAAAGTAATATGTCGGCTATAAGAACAGGCAGACTTCAGAAAAACCTGGAAAGACTTGTATGGTCTGATGCTGAGTGAAGTGAGCAGAATCAGGAGAACGTTACACACAATAACAGCCACATTGTGTGATAACTAATATTGATAAACTTAAACCTTCTCAGCAATACAAGGATCTAAGACATGTCCAAAGGCCTCATGATGGCAAATGCTATCCACATTCAAAGAAAGAACTATGGAGTTTGAATGCAGATCGAAGCATACTATTTGCTAGTTTTTTACTTCTCTTGTGTTTTGTTTCCTCTTTCTGGTGGTTCCTCCTATTGGTTCTAATTCTTACTTACAACATCACTAATGTGAAAATATGTTTAATAGGAATGTATATGTATAGCCTATATCAGATTGCCTGCTGTCTTAGGGAGGGAGGGGAGAAAGGAGGGGGAGAAAAATTTAAAACTCAAAAGCTTATGGAAGTGATTGTTGATAAATCAAAGTAAATTAATTTTTAAAAAAGTAAGTAATATGAAAGCACAGTTTCCTATAAAATCCTTTTGTTGTATTCTGCTGTGCAAATAGAAATTCTCAGTTTTCTGGTTAAGTTCAAAATAAAATTTAGAATGGATAAAAAGAAAATAATGTGTTTGATTTGCCATATATAGAGATTTTAAGTATGCTACTTGCTATACCACCTTGGCCAAAGTTATTCCATTCACGTCTGGCCTTAGTTTCCTCATCTACCAAAGGAGGGAGATAGACTAGATTTTCTAGCTCCATCTTCTATGAAATGCAGTCAGTAAGATTTAAATACATTACTGAAATGCTTGTTGACTGACTGCAGGTCTCCAACAAGACTTTAAACCAGGGGTTTTTAGACTGGGGGCTAAACTAGATAAGCAGGCAGACAAATAATCCTATGTATTCTATCATTAGCACATAGTACAATGCATGGCACATAGTAGATGTTTACTGATTGATTTATTGATTTTATATAAAGTTACAGATAATTGTATTTCAATGATTGGTTTCTTTGTAATCCTATTTTTCATATAAAATTACATATAAATAACTATGTCAATGACAGGGTTCCTTTTGAAATATATGTGTTTTATTTTACATAAAATTATATAGATAACTATTTCAATATAATTTTCTTTGTAATCCTGTATATTTTGTTTTACATAAAATTATAGATAACTATTTCATTATGATAAATTTCCTTTGTAATTCTATTTATTTTATTGTATGTAAAATTATACATATAACTTTCAATATAATTTCCTTTGCAGTCCTATGTATTTTATTTTACATAAAAATTACATAGCTGTTTCAATACAATTGGTTTCCTTTGTGATTGTGTATTTTATTTTATATAAAAATTATAGATAACTATTGCAATGTGATGGATTTCCTTTGTAATCCTATTTTATTTTACATAAAATAATAGATAACTATTTCATTGATAGATTTCCTTTGTAATCCTATTTATTTTATTTTGTATAAAAATTATGTACAACTGTATTGCAATATGGTAAGTTTCCTTTGTAATCTTTTGTATTTTATTTTATATATATATATATATATATATTTCAATATGATTGGTTTCTTTTGTAATACTGTGTATTTTTTTTATGAATTTAAAATGTTTATCTTGAGCAATAAATGCTTCACCAAACCCCCTAAAGTGGGGCATGGAGGGTCAATGGCACAAAGATAGATTAAGAACCCTTCGCTTTAAACCCAACTCTCAGGGTGTCGCCTTTTCCGTGAAGAAACAAAAAGGCTAATAACAACACCCACTGATGCAGCGTTTTGAGGCTTTGCAATAACAAGCGCTTGGGGGTTGCCTGACGGGGAAGGGGCTTTTACCAGTGTCTCTCCCACCCCAACGTCCCCGTCCTGCACCCCACAATGTCTCCCCAGAGTTTTTCCAACCCACCATGGCCGCACCCCACCCCAACCCGTTCGAGAAGTCTTCACAACCTGCACCTACCCTCAGCCCAGACCCCCACCCCGAACCGGGGGGCTTCGTACGCCCCTGCTCTCCAGGAGGAGAACATGAGGCCAATGTCACCCCTTTTTCCCATAAATCCCGAGCTACTCACTCAGAGCAAAATCTGGGTTCCGCGACCGATGCTCACTTCAGGCGGGTTTAGGGACCAGGCCGCGTTTCCATGGAAACTGGACTGCGCGCCACCCTCAGAACCACCGACCACATCAACCGCTGCCTTCGCGGGTGTCTCTGTCAAAGACTTCCCCGCAGGAAACTAGTCCTTCCGTTCCGGGTTCTGTCAGAAACTCTGGTGCGCCTCCCACCTCCTTCCCATTCATTCCTTCCCTTTGACCACCTGGGAAATAACAACACCTTCTGAGACCTTAAGGAGAGCTCCTGGACGATGATGATGGTGGTGGTGATGATGATGGTGGTGGTGATGATGATGATGATGATGATGATGATGATGATGATGATAGCTGGCATTGATATAAATTTGAAATAGGGATAATAATAGCACCTGCCTCCCAGGGTTGTTGGGAGAATAAAATAATATTTATAAAGGCTAATTTTAGTTACGTATGTGTATCCTTACAACAACCCAGAGAAGTAAGTGCTATTATTATCCTCATTTTACAGATGGAGAAACTAAGACAGATTGATTAAGTGACTTGCCCAGGTTCACTTGCCCAGTTCATTTGAACTCAGCTCCATCCTGAATAGTTACAGTATCCTACGTATTGCAACTCCTACATATATACAGCCAGACACTGTATTCTTCCTCCAAATCCTGAAGATATTTCAGGTGGTGTCTTCATTCCTGTGGAGTGGAGACCTCATCTTCCCTCACACTTAAACACGTGGGCTGCCTACTGAGAAGAGAGACTTCCTCAGAAACTGTTACTTTAAGCTTTCCCTCTGTGGGCCTCAAAACCGTTTCCTCCTGAGGAATTTTATGTCAAAGTAAAGCTATGTAAGAATTAAAGCAGGATACTTTTTTCCCTTTATTTTTCTTTGGCTTTTTATGTGTTTCCTTTTACAATGTGGATAATATAGAATGTTTTGTATGACTTCACATATCTAACTGATATCATATTGCTTGCCTTCTCAAGGGGTGGGAGGTAGAGAATTTGAAACATGAAATTTTTTAAATGAATGTTAAAAAATTAATGTAATTGGGAAATATTTAACAAAGTGAATTTTTAAAAAATTTTAATAAAATAATTAAAACTGGCCTTTTACCTGGCCAAAATGAGAGGATTGTAGTAAATGATTTTAAGAAAGAACTTTTTAGAAATCATCTAGTTCAACCTCCTCATTTTACAAAGGAGGAAACTCAGACCCAGAGAGATGAAATGATTTGCCCAAGATCACAAAGCAAGGCAATCTCTTCCAGATATAACATTCAATGCTTCTTAAACAAGGATTCCACTCATTTCCTTTCTTGACTGAGTCAAAACTGGATTTTCTTGGTGTCCGGAAGCCAGGTTCAAAGTACAGCTCTTCTTTTAGAGTTTCTGAAAGCATCCATTCTAAGTATTGCCCCAATCATCACTCCAACATACAAAAAATTTTGGAAGATACTGTCCATAGGGTGGTAGTTGGGAATGTTCTGGAACCAGCTGAAGCTGGCTTGTGAGAAATTGTTATATTTTCAGCGTGAACATTTACACCTCAGAAATGAGCAATCTCTACAAAACTTATTATTTTGTTGATTATCTAGACTTAAAAAAGGGTTAATAATGCAGATTAAACTGAAAACTGTGTGTGCCTTACATTCTACCTCTCCCTCTCCAGCCAAGCTGTTAAACATTTACTAGCTCACCTCTGGGTGGTACTGGATCATCTGGGTCTGGGACACATTGCCCTGCCTTCCACCCTATAAATCAATCCCTCTGTTGGCTGGGCAAATAACTACACTTGCCAAAAATCAGCTCTTCAGTTGTGTTATCACTGTTTAATTGCACATCTGCCATACCCTAAAAATAATGTGGGCCATTTCCACACCATCCCCTGCAAAGGTAATTGCAACCCTAATAACAGAACTAGATTCTCACCCAAGGTATCTCTCTCTCAAGGCACAGCCCAGGCCTAACCAATTTTTTTTCTCATATTTCTTCTTTCTTCTCACCTAAATACATAGAATTATTCTTCAGTTTCAAAAAAAGTTTTTCCCTCATTGCTAATGTTGAAGAAATGACCACCAGGATTCTGCTAAAAGAAATGATATTTATTTAATTGACAACATATGGTTGTATGGCAGAGGCTCACCACATAGAAACTCCAAGAGGATCTAACAGCAAGAATTTCTCAAAAATGTTTGAGCAAAGCTAAACTGTCATAATCTTAGGAAAACGGAATCCAGGTATGCTCCAATGGATCACAATCAAATAATGAGAGGCATAATACATGGAGGATAGAGCATAGAGTTATGAATCTACAGAACTATTCATTCACCTAATGGACATATTCAAAAGCAAATAAAGGAGAACATATGGCAAAGTATGCTTCAGGAGGAAGAAATTAGTTAGATCAAAGACTTATAGATTATACAGAAGCCTCATACCTCCATGCCATGAATATTTCTTCAAGAAAAAGAACTGGCAGGTCCTGAATGTAACAAGGATCAAATATAACTATAAAAATTAATTTACTATGTTCCTGTTTTGACAAACAGGAAAATATTTATTATCAACATGGGAGTTATCCCTAAGTCACATATTTCTATATGGTCAGACCATTAACTTCTCAAAACCAAGACCAAAATTTGTTTTTAAAAAAAGAATAAAGGTAAAAAAGAAATGGCATACAACAGATTTAACTTTGAACTATTTAAACAAGTTATTTAAAATTTAAAAATAGGAAATGGACAACAGAAATTATATCAACACCAGCCGTAATAATCTCAACCAGAAGTTAAATCGATATAAATTAATTGCTACAAGTAGATCAAAACAGACAAAAAAATGTGTTAGTTAGCAAATACCTAATTTGATTTCCTAATAAAAAGAGAAATGACTTCCAAAGGTAAGGCTAGTAAAAATAAAAACTCATTTATAAAATCTTGCAAAGTAATGGGTAATTATGAAAACTATCATCTTATAAAGCATAGCAAAGTAGTAGTGGGTAAAATCAGTCTGAAGAAAGCTTGGTAAGATAACCAACTAAGTCAAGTCATCTCAAAAGCATTTAAGGATAAAAATGGAAGGAAAACTATGACAAGAAGAAAAATGGCAAAAACTTGCAAAAATTGTCTCAACAAACTGCTCTCCATCAAGGATGGTAGAACCACTATACATGATATATACTCATATATATATATATATATATATATATATACACACACATATACCTCTAGCATCAGTTTCTAAAGTGCTCATAGAAGAAGTAGAAATAGTATAAAAGATAACAAAGATGGAGAAAGCAGCTTTCTATATTATATATGAAGTGTGTGTGTAAACAGAAAAAGAGAGAGAGAGATCAATAATGATGGAGTTGGGAAACAAAGAGACACATAGAGGGGAAGATACCAAAAGCATGGAAAAATAGTAAACTTTATTAATACCAAAGAAAACATAACCAAGAGAATATCAATAATGGCTGATTTTTTTGTCTACTCTCTCATCTTTACAAAATCTTTATAAGATTTCTAAAAGTCATCAATACCTGAATTAATACCTGAATTGAGGGTGTCCTAGAAGAGATTATTAGTAGGGAACAGGTAGGTTTTTAAAAGCCATATTCAACAATGGACTACATCTTTGTTGTTGTTAAGTCATTTCAATTGTGTCTGACTCTTTGTGACCCCAATTCAAGATTTTCTTGGCAGAGATACTGGAGTGGTTTGCCATTTCCTTCTTCAGTTCATTTTACAGATGAGGAAACTGAAGCAAACAGAATTAAATGACTTTCCCAGGGTCACACAGCTAATGTCTAAGGCCAGATTTGAACTCATGAAGATCTTCCTGATTCCAAGCCAAGTATTCTACCCACTGCACCACCTAGCTACCCCTGGACTACATCTTTAATGCCTCACAAATAACTGAAAGATATAGATAATGTAAGATTCCATTGTACTTATTATTTGTTGATTGCCAAAAAAAAAATGCATTTGATTATACAGAATAAAATAGTTCCATAAAGGTTCTTTTACAACAAGATGTCTCCCATTCACACATCAAGATGACAGTTAACATTTATATAGCCCTTTAAGATGTGCAAAGTGCTTTACAAATATTATATCATTTGATCCTCAGAGCAACCCTGAGAAGTAGGTGCTATTATTATCACCATGTTGCAGCTGAGGAAACTGAGGCAAACAGTGGTTAAGTGATTTGCCCAGTATCACACAGCTAGTAAGTATATTAGGCTAGATTTGAACTCGGACTTTTCTGACCTCCAGGTTCAGCTTGCTAACCACTGTATAGCCTTGGATTCCTTTTAGAACGTAAAAACATAAATCACTTTACTCAAAGACCATATGACAATAAAATTCAAAAAACAGAAAGATATGTGCTTGGCAAAGATGACCATTGTGATAAAGGATATCCAACACAGAGTCCAGGTTGAAGAAGAGTTCCTTGTGGATGGTAAGGTCTTGCAAATGCATTTGTTTGCAGATGACATCATGCTAATGGCAACAAGCCCCCAAATACTGCAAAACATCCTGGAAACAATTGCTAACCACTCAAAGAAGTTTGGCTTGTCCATCCACATGGGAAAGATCAAGTGGAAGAATGTGTATTGTTCAGATTTCAACATGCATTTAGATGGACATTTTATAAAACTTGTCCCAAATTATGCATATCTAGAACCGACAGAACAGAGCCGGATTTCAAGTCTTTCAAGAAATTGAGGGGGCAGCTAGGTTGTGCAGTAGACAGAGCACAAGTCCTGGATTCAGGAGGACCTGAGTTCAAATCCAGCTTCAGACACATAACACTTACTACCTGTGTGACCGTGGGCAAGTCACTTAACCCCATTGCCTAGCCCCCCCCAAAAAAGAATTGAAAATTGTTTTTGAATTGAAAATTTAAAAAAAATTGAAAATTGAAAAAATTGAAAAATATTTTACTGACCCTAAATTTCCCATGAAACAAAAGCTCATCTTTTCAATACTTATATTTTACTGGTATTGCTGTGAATGAATGAATGAAATAGCATTTATTAAACACTATATGTAAAGAACTGTGCTAAGCACAGGGGACATGAATATAAAAGCAAGAGAG